ATGATGCTTTAAGTAATTAGACCACACACTCCATAATTATTGCAGCTGCTAGCTTTTGAATCCAGATCTGAGTGGAGATCTGACTGTCTTCATTCACTATTCTACAGGGATGGTGATGCTCCCTGCAATCCCAGCACTTGGGAGGTGGAGGCAGGAGGATCAGGAATTCAAAGTCATCCTCTGCTACCCTGTGCTACATGAAACCCTATCTCAAGCCCTTCCCCCCAACTCTGCCAAAGAAAAATGAGAGAGGTGAGCATGGTGGTCAGTGCCCATAACCCAGCAGGCAGGGGGCCGCATTGAATTCAAGATCAGCCTGGGCTGTGCAGAGCCCCTGTTTTCAAACAAGCAAGCAAAAAACAGAGGGGCTGGGGTAACGGCTCAGGCAGCAGGAAAATGGGGGCCTCACCTGAGTGTGGATCCTCGGCACCACTTCAAAAGTCAAGTGCAGCAGTGAAAGCCTACGATCCCCGCTCTGGGGAGGCTGGAGCAGGAGGACCCCTAGAGTTTGTCTGCTAGCTAGTGTTGGGGAGAGCCAGGTTCAGCAAGGGATTTTGTGTTTAAAAGAAAGAAATAAGGTAGATAGTGATAAAGGAAGATACCTGATGTTGACTTCTGGTGAGCATGTACACATATGTACACACACACACACAGGAGAGAGAGACATGGATGGATAGACACATGGAGATCAAAAAAGAAGCAGACATCACACTAAGGAGGCTGTCCTGTCAAACAGTGTATAATGAAAGCACACAGGAGGTGCCCACAGCCGAGAACAGACCAACTTAAAACAACATTATATAAAGAGGATACTCAGTGTGACTAAAGTAAAGGCGAGAGGATGGAAGTGAAAGGGAGGGGTCACAGACGAGGAGAGCGTGGTAACCACTCATTTGTTCACTCATTTCTTTTGTTAAATTCTGCCATGTGCTAGGCATTTAGACACAAGCACTGCAATGGGACGCACACGCTACTCAAAGAACTTACAGCCTATCTTAAGAGACGGTCAACACAAGAAAACACAGATCTGTAACACAGGCACTAGGTGCATTCATTGGACACTGAGACGTTCTCAGACAGGAGGATGGATCCCTAAGGTTCACCAAGCACTAGCTTAATCTGGTGGCACAAGCCTGCTACTACTTGGGAGGCTGAGGCAGGAGGATCCTGAAAAAGAGGCCTGAAAGAGAACTGGGAACATAGCTCAGTGGTAAAATGCTCGTCCACTAGATTCAATCCTCAGTTCTACCTCTTATCCCGCTTCAAAAAGTGATGGGGATGTAGATGTAGAGTGCTTGCTTGCCTGGCATGTACAAGGCCTTGGGTTCGATCCCTAGCACCACATAAAACAGTCATGGCATCACACAGCAACAAAGCAAGTTTGAGGGCAATGTGGGACACATGAGACCCTATTTCAAACCAAACCAACAAAAACGAGCACACTATATTCACAAAGACCCTTCAGGGCAACCACCACGTACCGCGTTTAGTGGTCCAGCTCTACTACACAAAGTCCTCATTTCTCCTACCTCACCTCAGACTGAACCTGGGCCAGTTGAAGGGTATGTGACTTAAGAGATGACAGCCCAGGCTGATCAAAGACCTGTACTATGGCATGACATGTAAGCAGGAGCTATGTGCTTTCGAGGTACACTTTTGAAGCTGAAATGACGCACTGTAGGGATCCTTGAGGCAGAATCTGAGCAGGAACAGCACAATTTTAAGGAGCAGAACTAAGTGAATAGATACTAAAGCTGCAAGCTGCCGAGGGGCTTAGGAGTAAATATGAAACACATATATTACATAAAATAAATGTTTACAAATTCAGTACTCTGAGAACTCTTAATTAAAAAGTATATTCCCAGGCGGTGGAGGCACACACCTTTAATCCCTGCACTAGGAAGGCAGAGGCAGGCAGATCTCTGAGTTCAAGGCCAGCCTGGGCTACAGAGCGAGTTCCAGGACAGGCACCACAGCTACACAGAGAAACCCTGTCTCAGACCCCCTCATGTGTACATGTGGAAGCTGGAGGACAAACAGCTTTTGGGAGTTGATTCTCTCCGCCCCATGTGGGTTCCAGGGGTTGACCTCTGGCTTAGTGACTTTGCCTACTGAACCACCTCCCTAGTCCACAGTAATGAAATCTTAGCACATCTGGGTATGACGTGCTATTAGGAAAACATCATGGATGTTAACGTTTTGCTTTGAGAAAGGGGTCTGAATACGTTAAACCACACAGGCTCCAGCTCACGGGCTCAAGTGACCTCACCTCCGCCTTCTTTCACTAAATTCTTGGGACTCAACTAATCCTCCTGCCTCAGTCTCCTTAGTAGCTAGGACTACAGACACATGCAGCTGCACCTAGCTCACTGTTAATTTTGAAAGGGTGTCATATAGGCCATAAAACATGGTAGTCATATTCCTATTTTTTTTTTAAGAGACTCAAGCTGACATCGGCTGGACTGAAATACACTATTATCTAGGGTTTCCTGGGCGTGGAAGAATTTAACATAAAATACTCTTTTCCTTTTGAAGTACTTTAAACAAGTACGAGTCCTGAATAGTTACAGAATCTGGGTAATAGATGTAAATTTTCTACAATGAAAACGAAACACTGCTAAAAACAACTTGGGTTGGTGATAAAACTCAGGACTTTGACATCAAAATCTGTAATGTTTTAAATTTCCTCCTTAAAACCAGATGGAACAAAGGGTCCACGTGTTTGCAAGGCAAGTCTCATCATCAGGAGCTGAGATTGCTGGGCATACTGGCGCAGCTACGATCCCTGCGCTCGCAAGGCTGAGGCAGAAGGACACAGGGTTCCAGGCCAACCTGGGCTGCCAGTGAGGCCTACAATCAAAAAAAAAAGAGAGGAGTGCTGGTCAGTCCAAATTCTCAGTCTCCACCCCTTACACTCCTTTATCGTCCAGTTGTACGCCTTTCGTCCTGGCTGCTGCTCGGTTTTCCTCTCTTTTAACACCTGGCTCAACTCATTCCTGTGTATTATTTCCTTGGCATTCAGGATTCCAGTAGTCCAATTAAGCTGGCTAGCACTAAGAACCCAGTGGACAAAGTGCGAGTAACCAAGTGCTGGTGAAATACAAGTGAGTAGAAGCACAAACTCCTGCTGGTGATGTCCCTTCAACAGCCTTAGAGCATCCTCAGACGTTCATTACTGCAGGTTTTACCATGGGTCCTGTTATCACTGAATGCTACTAGAAGCAAGGCAACACACTTAACACTCCAGAAAATACAAACAGGAAAACAAGTCCACCCTGAGGACACTACTGCTGGCCTACTAAGGGAGACAGAGGGTAAACAGTAGTTACGATGAGCTCTGTCCAGAAAGGCCCAGTTAGAACCCAAAATGGAAACTAACAATAGATGAGGCTTCAAGACAGGCCTTAGGAGGAGCACTACAGAGCATGTTGGCAGATGTGAATAACCTGAGATGGGCAACAGTGAGCCACTGAATGGTTTTCAAGCACAGGACTCCAGGAGAGACAGCAACACTCAAGAGCAAGGCCTCCTTGCCTGCTCCATCCAGCTCTTTGATTCTGGGGACTACTTCTACTATGAAGATCCAGAAGCTACAAGACCCCAAACATTGTATCTGTGTCTTTAAAATGTACCATCACCGCTTTCTTGGGTAGACAGTTCAGTATTTAAAGAGGATAAAAAATGCTGGGTCACAAAACAATAGCCCTGAAAATAGTTTTTCTCTCTCAAATAAAGTATGTTACATTATCACCACTGTGGTCCAACACCTTAAATATAAACAATATATCTGAAGCTTGATAAAAGTAAACTGTTTCGGGCTGGAGAGATGGCTCAGAGGTTTAGATCCCTCCTTGCTCTTTCAGAAGATCCAGGTTGGGCTCCTAGCATCCATATGGTGGCTTACAACCACCTATATATAACTCCAGTTCTAGGAAATCTGATGCCCCCCACCAGCCCTAGGCACCCACAGGGTACACATATATACATGTAGGTAAAACACTCATGTATAAAATAAAATAAATCTAAAAAAAAAAAAAACAAGTAAATTGTTTCTTCTATTTAGCTTAAGAATGTGAAATTTTCACTGTTAAAAAGAAACAAAAAATTACCAGTGTTTATTATGAATGAATACAGTTACTCAGAACACAATCAACACTTGACTATTAACAACTCACAAATCTGGCCAAGCAGAACTCCATTGAAAACTGGGACCAAATGGCATCATATAAACTGTCACCATCCAAGGGTCCAGCTGACCCTTGTAGTTAAAAGAAGTCGCTAGCGACTATGACCATCTTGTGTCCAATAATAGACTCTAACAAATCCCAGAAATGACAAATTAAAAGCCAAGGAAGACTGTAGCACTTTCCTGTCTAAATACACTTAACGGGCCAATTCCATCTGGAACCCTTGTTCATGTTACCTGAGTCTCGGTTTCCTTGTTACTATATAATAAGGCCCAGGGTACCCATCTGCTGCTCCATCGGGTGGTGTCTGAACTAAATATACGAGGCACGGGAAGTGACCCGGCAGATACTTAATAAACCCCAAACTTTATTAGTCACAGTCCGTCTTATGGTCCCCCATTATCCCGGCGGTGTGGAGGTGTCTTATGATGTCAGTCCCCACGGATCCTCTACAGATCTCTCCGGGGGGAAAAAAATCACGTTAGTGCTCGAGATCGCGGGGCCCTGGCAGAGACGGGGGCCCTGACGCATCAGCCCCCGCTTCTCCAGGGGACTCGGGGTCCGCCAACGCCTCGCTGCCCGGCCAAGGGCCCAGACTCCTGGCGCGCGGCCCCGCCCCGCGAACCCCCAACGCGCGGGGTGAAGGGGGCGGTCCCCGCCGCACGTCCTCACCGCTCGGGTGGTAGTGGAGGGGTGGGGGAGGAGGACGGGGGAGACGAAGCCAACCCCCGGCCTCCGCGCGCCGGCCTCCCTCCCTCCCCCGGACGAGGCCTGCCATCGTGCCGCCCGCCCCCGCGCCGCCCCGGGCCGCACCTTGAGGTGGGTGCGCAGGCCGCCGGCGCCCCCGGACTGGTCGGTGATCTCGTAGGCGCCCGTCACCAGCAGGTCCTTGTGGATCTCCTCGCGGAGACACTTGCGGGAGTTCACGGGCAGGTGGAAGGAGATGGCGGCGACCGAGCTCGGGCCCAGCAGGAAGAGGAAGAGCAGCGCGGACGGGCGAGGGCCAGGCCGGGAGAGCGGGCCAGACAAACCAGACATGGTGCCGGAGCCTCGTTCACCACCCGGGGCCTCCA